TTACAGAACTGATCATAAAGCATAAAGAACCATCATTATCATTAACTCAGAATTCCCTAACTTAGTAAAATTACTAACTTTTGGAAGAAACAATAAGGAACCTATATAAATTCCAATTCCATTATGTAAACTATTTCTATTGTCACTCAGTATATGTGACAGAACTACCATTCTAAAAGAAATGAAATACATTTCATTGGTGGGATGTCATTTTTTCAATTTAATTAAATCCTTCACTTATCAATTTATATAAATTTGAGTTAATCTTGAATTTCAGTTACTCAATAGTTATTTGAAGAAACTTGCTAACGTTCAAATTAAAATAGGTAATCAAGATTTTATATTAAAATTCATTGAATTATACCAATTTCAATGTTTTCAGTAAAAAAGTAAATTGAAATCTTTAGTCACATATGGGATTTAGGTACTAATTCACTTTGGCGAATCACTACAAACTAAAAATGCAATTAAAGTAAATTAAGTTAGGTTTTATTAATATAATAATTACTTTATTGATTGGCATACGTCTATATTATAATCATATTAGCCATTTGCTACAGTAATACATAATAAATTCGGTAATTAGTAGTCACACACATTTAACTTGTCTCTTGAGATGAACAGCTTGGGAAGAAAGGGAACTAAAAGTGAAACAGAAAATTGTATGACATTTAAAGTTATAGAATTTTGTGGAACATTTTGTCTTTATTACAACTAGAAAACTCCAAACAAAATGGAGAAAACATAAGAAAAGGTCAACATTTAAGTAAAATTGTACTAAAAGCAGTCTATTTATCATATTGTTTTTAACTTACCAGATTGATTTGGACCACACATAGACTATCTATAAGCAAAACTAAAATGAATTATTATACATATTCATATACTTTCAATGTAATGGAACCAGTGTAAAAATTGAGTTATAAACAGAAGATGTCATTTTTACATCATTTTAGAAGAATCTTTAATGATATATACCTAAACACACACTCACACACACATATTCAAATGCACTATTTGGTATATTTTGGTTTAAACCATATACTATGTATTTGTAAGGAAATACATTATTTTGCATACTTCTTAATGTTATGCAAGTTACTTAATCTCTTGACCTGTTTATCTTTATTTCTAAAATTGCTGGTAATCATTTCTACCTTATTGGGTTGTTGTTTAGATTAAGTGGGTTACTGCCCACAAATCTGTCTGAACACCTATCCTAACCCTAGGCCTAACTCTTTTTTATTTAGAAAAGCTCACCATATCCATTTGTCAATATTTTCAGCTATAAGGAAAATAGTTTTAAAAACATGAAAATGTAAATGTACTCAAGAGTAACTGCTGTTAAACAGTTCTCAACAGGCAGAAAATACAGACTTTCCTTTCACTGAAAATGTTAAATCTATAATAGCAGCATCATTTATATACAGAAAAAAGCTGGTTTTGATGTCTGGCTCCTAGCACTTCATGTCAGCTATTCTTCTTTCTGTCTCTCTGTCTCTCTCTTTATTTTTTTTTTTAATAAACAGAAATTGATCCTACCTTTTGAATTAAAAAAAGAAATAATCTTAACTAAATTAGTACTTTTCTCTAAGTTTTCTGTACTAATTAGTATACTTTCTTCTATTTGAATTTAACTTATTATTACATAATGGCAAATCATAATGCATATCTGCTTATCTGTATGCCTATGTCAGCAAAACAGAGTTTTATAAATAACAGGAAAATGTAGTATGCTAATCAGCAGATTTAGGTTTACCTTTACAATCATAAAAATGATGTATTCTTTCATATCTATTCTAAAAATATAAGAACTCTAATTACTTTTATATATGTGAAAGTATATTTCTTATACTAATAATATGCAAGCCATTTCATTAAGTTGTCATGAAAAGATAAACCTGTAATTTTTATCTCAGAGATTGAAATAGGCACTTTTTACTTTATGTATTTCTGAGATAGCAAATAAATATGAGATTATATTAATGTTATACACAGATTTTTAGGATTTCTTGGGTTTGTATTTTTTATTTTTATGTTTATTTATTTATTTATTTTGAGGTGGAGTTTCGCTCTGTCGCCCAGGCTGGAGTGCAGTGGCATGATCTCCGCTCATTGCAAGCTCCACCTCCCAGGTTCACGCCATTTTCCTGCCTCAGCCTCCCGAGTAGCTGGGACTACAGGCGCCCGCCACCACGCCTGGCTAGTTTTTTGTATTTTTAGTAGAGACGGGGTTTCACCGTGTTAGCCAGGATGGTCTCGATCTCCTGACCCTGTGATCCGCCCAGGTTGGCCTCCCAAAGAGCTGGGAATAAAGGTGTGAGCCACTGCGCCCGGCCTGGGTTTTAATTTGGATTTAAGTCTCCTGTAAGGGTGACATTTTCTTTAGGCAGTGTAGCTCTGTCAGGCTACTCAGAATGACATGTTATGAGCAAGACAGAAATTATTATTAAACAAATGTTAATTTCTGCAACAGAGATAACCATGATTTGGACAATAATTTCTTAGGGCAAAAACAGTTACGTATTGATGTAACTGCATCTTTAACTAATAGCTGATTTCTTAAACTTAAGAATTCTGGCTTGTAATAAAGTTCTAAAAGTGAATTTTATGTAACCTTGTAACTATTATGTTACTCTAGATTAATAGGCTTCAGCATTTACAAAATGAATCTATTCTTATAAAATATGCAGAATATTTCTGTGGCCCTTCATAAAACATCCATCCCTTACTTCTCTTCCACGGCATTCAAGGTTCAGAGTATATTTGTGGACTGCTGTTTTAAAAATGAACTCTACAGAGTAGGCTGAGGATCCATACTTTAGGACAGCTGTAACACACAAGGATCCTGCTAGAAGAGTATGAGTTAGGACCAGGTATATTATAGATAGGAACAGGTGTGCTCAATGACAAATCCGTTAAAAGAAATTTGAGGAGTCTTGATTCAGTGAATTGGTCAGGAGTCATATAATTTGATTTTAAATAGTTTATTTCAAGCATATTTTCACTGTTCTTTAGGTATTTGAACTTAACTTTTTTGGGGGCTTTTTTCTTATAAACATAAATTAATATTAATAATTAGCTACCATTAAAGAAGAGAAATATATAAAGGTTATTAGTCTTCGTTGAATTGTGCCACTGGCATTACTGGGCAGTCTTACAATAAATTTCAAGGGACTATGCAAATCTGTATTAACTAATTAATTATCTTCAGTAGGAACAAAGGACCAGGGAGTCAATCTGAACTGTACAATTATTAAACATCTCTGCTAGCATATATGAATAGGAAAGACAACACATAATATAACAAGGGTCAGAAATAACATTTGTGAATTTTCTATATTCTTTAAGATGAAGCATGAGACCAGCAGAAAAGAAAACACATCTGGGGGCAAACAGAATCAATGACCTTCATTAGCTTAAATTTCCAAATGGCCTCAGATAAAAATCTCTGAGCTACTAAAACAAACCACGAAAACAACAAAACCAAAACTTGAACATTTACTTAAGAATTTGAGGCAAACATTTGGTCATAGACTTAAGAGTACATTTAAATCGAAAAAAAAAATAGTTTTTATAATACAGAAATGTTAATAATATAGAAATATCTAGGAACTAGCATTAGAGTAAACTTATTAAATATTTTCTTTCTTAATCTAGAAGAGGGAGAATAATGTGCTATCTCCAGTTTACAATTAACAGTAACATCTTCTCTTTGAAGATGAAAAGAGAACTCTTTCAACCAGTAGAAATAAATCACTAGAGACTTTCATAAAGCCATGCCAGATAATTTTCAGTTCCTTGTAACTAGTGTGATTTTGTGTCAAGAATTATAAATACAAGTCCACCTCTCTATTGCCACCTGCCACCTCAACCTTGTGTGGCCTGCAAGTATAGAACTAAGTCTCAGCTACTTTTTGAGACTCTGAAGCAGGAGTTTTTAAGGTGAGGTTGGGGATATAATTCTATGGACTGATTTTCAGGGGTCAGTGATCACTATAACACTGTGTACAGAACTGTATGTGCCTCTTCATGAAGCCATTTGCTTTCATCAGATTCTCAAAGTGGCTTAAAACCCAAAAAAGGTTTGGGTGAATATGCTAAGATATCCATACCCCATCTGGTCACTGTAGAATCACATCCAGAATTGATCTCAGACATATATCACGACAAGATAAAACTGAGGCAGTAGGGGAAAGAATATCTGCTGGTGGCTTAGGAATATGAGGCTACAGAACAAAACAGGAGTGGAGAGAGACATTCTTTAGAGTGACAAATGGGAGGAAATGGCAAATTCAATTGGCACCTGGGTGAAGGACCTATTGGCTCTTAAGAGTGTTGGAGACACATGTAAATCAATGAGCTTGTCATCCTGTCCCACTTCCCAATTATAATATAGGCACTTAGATGTGAATAAATGATACTATTATTATTTCTTCTATATAAAAAGTTGCTCTTCATTACCTAGAAATTTGATGATATTCATTTATTGCCAGTAACATACACATTACTTTGGGGTCTTGTCTTCAATATTAGAAATGAGATAAAGTAACTTTTTAACATTCGTGTGATTCAGCATTGTTACAACCATTGGCACTCATTCATTTAGTAGGAGACAGATTTTTTTTTTTTTTTTTGAGAGGGAGTCTCACTCTGTGGCCCAGGCTGGAGTGCAGTGGCCAGATCTCAGCTCACTGCAAGCTCTGCCTCCCAGGTTCACGCCATTCTCCTGCCTCAGCCTCCCGAGTAGCTGAGACTACAGGCGCCCGCCGCCTCGCCCGGCTAGTTTTTTTTTTTTGTATTTTTTTTAGTAAAGACGGGGTTTCATCGTGTTAGCCAGGATGGTCTCGATCTCCTGACCTCATGATCCACCCATCTCGGCCTCCCAAAGTGCTGGGATTACAGGCTTGAGCCACCGTGCCCGGCCAGGAGACAGATTTTGAATTCAGTAGCTTTGTGTTTATTTACAACAAATAGGAAAAACATATTTTAAAATTTACCTGCAAGGTTGTCGATTTCTTTCTCCTGTAGCAGACTGACTGCATCATCGTCTCCTTCCAGCATAAGTTCTGTCTCTGCATTCTGGTTCACTATTGCTTGACTTCTGAATGTTTTCTTTGACTTTACTACATCTTCTTCCGTGCCTAATCACAACGAAAATATAATAATTTAGGTTATTATGATTGTTTCTGCTTAGAGTAGGTATTATAAATAATTGATTGCTTTATGATAATTATATGCTGCGTTTACATATTACTTTATAATTATAGAACACTGTAACCTTCTTTACCTTGTTTGGTTTCCTGTGAGAAACATGGGGTGTGAGGAGTTGTAATCATCGACCCTTATTTTAAAGATGAGGAAACAGGCAGAGGAAGCTACATGCATTTTGGAGGAACCCGGCAATTGCTAATGTTAGAGAAAAGAACTCTACCACGTCTTAGGATTGGAAGCTCCATGTCTCAGGGCTCTAAGATCAGTGTATGTTGCACAACAGTCTGTACTTCACCCCAAATTTGTTTTCTTAAAATCACACTATTTTACATAATCACACTTTGTCTTAATTAGCTAATCAATTGCTAATTAGCTAATTAGAGGATCATTTTTGAAAGTGGATGAGATAGGTATGCAGAAAACAAGAAACCATTCACATGTGAGGGGAAAAATGATTATCATTGGAAAGTTACAGGAAGGCGGAGTTAGAAATGATGGAGACATAAAAGCTTCCTCATAATATCTATTTCTTTAGGAATTAGTGAAATAAATACTGGTTTTTCTGAAATGATAGCCTTATTTTGCTATATATAATAACACAAAAAGCTGGCCGGGTGCAGTGGCTCACGCCTGTAATCCCAACACTTTGGGAGGTCGAGGGGGGCGGATCACGAGGTCAGGAGATGGGGACCATCCTGGCTAACACAGTGAAACCCCATCTCTACTGAAAATGCAAAAAATTAGTCAGGCGTGGCGGCGGGCGCCTGTAGTCCCAGCTACTCAGGAGGCTGAGGCAGGAGAAAGGTGTGAACCCGGGAGGCGGAGCTTGCAGTGAGCCGAGATTGCACCACTGCACTCCAGCCTGGGCGACAGAGCGAGACTCCGTCTCAAAAAACAAACAAACAAACACCCAAAAAGCCAAAACCAAAACACATGAAAATAAGCAGAAAAACTGAAATATTGTAAATATTGCAAGATTTGATCTGGCATTAATGTATAAGTTAGAAATGAATGCATCTGAATCCCTCAAGAATTTGACTGCTCAACAAATATTTTCATAGTTACATTCAGACACCTGCTTTGGCAGGTGACAATTAATATAAAATTATCTGAACTGAAAGCAACTTTTATAAATGCATACACCACCCACACCCACACAAACACCACACACATGAAATACTTCTATATCACTTGAAGCTGAAATTCCATTTAGAAGAAAGCATTGTAATTTACTGTATTCTGTATTAGGATACAGTCTTCAAGGAGCAGCATTAACTAGGAAAATGTCTTCGTATCTCATTTGGTGTGGTGGATATATTCCTGGAAATGGGAGCCTTATAAATCAGTCCTATACGGTGTCGTATTATATTTTTAGGGGACATTACGGTGTTGAAACATAGACAATGGCTCTCCAAATGATGTCATGCCTTTGGTCGAAAGTTTACAATACTTTTGGTCAATTCACCCAGGCCCATACCATAGAACTTCCAACAGTCCATTACTGCCTACTGATATTTGCTCAACCATTGTGCTGCTGTTGTTTGAGACAGGGTCTTATTCTGTCACCCAGGTTGGAGTACAGCGGCATGATCACAGCTCACTGCAGCATCGACCTCCCAAGTTCAAGCAATCATTCTACCTCAGCTTCCTGAGTAGGTGGGACCACAGACGCATACCACAATGCCTGGCTACTTTTGTTTTTGGTAGAGATGGGCTCTTACTATATTCTCAGGCTGGGCTTGAACTCCTGGGCTCAAGTGATCCTCCCACCTTGGCCTCCCAAAGTGCCAGGATTATATGCATAAGCCACTGTGCCCAGCCTGAACCATTTTCTTGCAACTACATCTGGCTGTCATACAACTTGCACTGTAAAATAGTTAGCTTTTTTCCTTTTTGTCTTTGCATTTTGCATACTTCTTTTTCTCAGTGAATATAGGCCAATTCTGTTTGCTAAAATATGAAAAAATTGACTCAAAGGCCACCAGAGTAAAAACACATGCTGAAGAACATAGTCACATCACAATACCATTACAGAGTGTCACTGGCTGAGAGGTATAGTCTGTCATCCTAGCTCCTACTGGATAACCACATTTACAGCACATGGTTAACACATACCATAAATGTATAAAGTAATAGATTGTTAAATATATATTTTGATAAATACTTCAGAGACAAATAGTATTACAAATCAATGCTACATTGGAGGGGAGGGGAATTAAATGGGTTCCATGTGTATTGTTCTTTCACTGGCCCACAGATAATTATTATTTCTGGAATAAAAGATTGGGGATAGATCACTGAATACTTCAGAACCTTATCTTAATTCTATTTGATTTTTGGTGATATAAAGCCAGAAAAAGAGTAATCTTCTGAGGGTAGCTATCTTTATAACTTGTTTGCTTCCTGGGCAAACAGAAATACAGAGCTTGCATCATTTGAGAACAAAAGAGGCAAATCCAATGATTAATAATTCAGAAATCTCTCCTGAGGTCTTCTTAGCTCTATTTCTGGACTTTGCCTGAATACTATTAACTGAACATTTCTCTTACTGAGCTAATTGTCTCTTGCTCCTTCTCCTCCTCGTATTTTGGCCAACCATGTACTTTAGCAGAAACCTAGGCATTCATCCTCCATGGTGACTGCCACGGCCCTAGTTCAGGCCATCACTGTTTTTGGTCTAGAGGGTGTCAACAGTTGCCTTACTCACACCACCTCCCATACTTTTGTCAGAGTGATTTTTATAAAACACAAATAAATTGAGGATATTTTCCTATTAAAATTATTCATTAACTCCTCCCAATCAAGTATACCTAAAGCAAGACTTAGACTGGAGGATAAAATCCAAACTTCTTAGTATGGCTTACCAAGGCCTTTTATCCTCTCATTACCAGTTCTGTGTTTTCACCAAACCCTCCTCAGCAATATTAGACCACTTATAGCTTCCAAAATATGTCATGCTTTCACATACCTCTTTACCCACGCTAATGTTATTCCCTCTGCAGGGTATGTTACTACCTTTCCTCCTTGGCCTGGCTAATTGCTACTTGCCCTTCAAAACCCACTTGCTTCAGTTGTCTTTCCTAACAAACCCTACCGCACATTCACAGCTTACACTAATTCAACTGCACTGTATAGGTGTTACCTATTATGTGTCTGTCCTCTCCACTAGGCTGTAGTCCCATTTCTGTAGCTTCAGTGCCTGGCGCCCAGCAGTTGTACCACAAACATGTGCTGAACTGAAGTTCAAGTTCACCCCACCACCCTATTCCCTTCTCTGATTTCTTAAGAGCCCTGGTGTGCTCTTTCCCTTACGCTTCTACCACACCTCTTGAACCGTGCTACTGCAGAATTTATAGGTATTGTAACTGCTTGCTTATTTATCTCCACAAAAGCCTCCAAGTTCCTTCATGCCTGGAAACATGTTTTTGTCTTGGTATTCTCAGTACTTAGCACGCTGCCTAGCACAGAGCAAATCTTTAAAAATCCTGAATAAATGTATAACCTCAGACATTACAGTTACCTTTGCCTATTTCAAAAGTCTGAAGTTCCCAGGATATCTCGGAGTCTCAGTGAGTTGCCTTTAGTTTGTGACAAGCCGGAGAATCTATGTATTTACAGGAAAAAGAACTTGTTTTTTTACAATAAAGTCAAAAAAGTCTTTTAAGTGTGAGTAATCTAATAAAGCAAGTTTTTCCTTATATAAAAATCAGGGGCAATCTTTGTCAGTAAAAAAAGCTTTATATTACTTTTGTATTACCAAAATAAATATTTACCAATGAAGAAAATGTAGTAGAAGAAAGGTGAGCTCTGAAATGTATATCAAGCTTTCAATTTTATCCCTTCTGGTTTTAAAGTAGTAAAACAATCATGACTTTAAAAGATATATAGTAAACTAATCCATATCAACACACTAAGCTTATCATCCTTGTTCAAGTGTTATCAGTTTGCAGCTCAGCAAACTTCCTGATTTTATGGTACTGCACCAAACATTTATCTAAATTAAAGTGTATGAGATCTAAAGGTGCTTTTCAATCACAATATCCTTTATGAATTAGAGTTTCATTCATCAAAATTACAGGCAAAAAGAGGTAAGGTCTCAAAGGGCTGTCTCATTACAAGGCTTGTAAACACTGTCCTTAGGAAGAATTGGTTTAACACCCAACAAATCAAAATCTGATTGGGAAGAGAATTTATTTGAGATCATCTATCTTCAGAAGACTGTTGGACCGAGTGCACTTTTTGGCCTCTTTAGCCATTCATCAAGAAATTAACAAGCGAATACCACAAACTACCAGAACGCCTTGGATCTGAAAATGTATACTATGTGTAAAGCTGGGTAGGATAGACATATATATGTGCTATGGCCTATGAAAACATTAAAATACCAAAAAATTTAAAAGTTTAAGGAGAAAAAATGCCACTGAATTATAGCTCAAGGAAGCTAAATCCAAAATCACACTTATGTTATTTTCTATATCATGTGACAACACATGAAAGCACTCTATAGACTGACTTCTGAGTAAATATATAGATATAAAGCTCTGTATATGAAAATGTTATGTAATACAGAATATTGCATTGCACAAATCTAAAGTTCCTTTTTCATAAAATTTCTATTAATAACCAAGAATCCATGTGAAAAAGGTATATTTTAAAGGTGAAGTAACAGCAGAACTAAAATGTTTCTAGTATTGTTACTATATTCCAGTATTATTGTTACTCTTATTGCGATATTTTAAATTACCATTTTAAAGTTTGTTATTTTAAATAAGCATAAGTTAAAATGCAGAAATGACAAACTGGAGATATTAGCTCCTCTTAATGATATCAAAGAATATGTCTACCTGGAATGGCCACACGATCAAGGCAAAGCAATTAGTTCATGTGCTCTTTATGTTCTTTTCTATCGATAAAAATAAACAATTAATGT